TTAAGACTAATCCATGCCCAAAAAAATCATTTTTATATATATGTGCTATTTTAAATTAAAGTAGTCATTTTAGAATTAAAGCATAAGGTGTTGAATCAAAATATGTTACTATGTTACAATTGAATCTGAAAGGACAAGGGGACAATGTCAACAGAGACGTTTGTTTAGGCAGTGATCCCCAACAGTTTTAGCACGAGGGACTGCTTTCATGGAAGACGATTTTTCCATAGATGGTAGGGGAGGTTGGGGGGATGGTTTGGGCCACCTCAGATCATCAAGCATTAGATTCTCATAAGGAGCCTCCAACCTAGATACCTCACATATGCAGTTCACAGTACCGTTCCAGCTCCTATGAGACTCTAATGCCGCTGCTGCTGCTGCTCGGATAGGAGGCAGAGCTCGGGCGGTAATGCTGCTCACCCCCTGCCCAGCTCCTGCTGTGCAACCCTGTTCCTAATAGGCCATGGACCAACACCAGTCCCAGGCCCAGGGGATTGGGGATCCCTGCTTTAAGGAGTCTAAATAAATCTTCATACTGGGGAACAGTAAAATAAAAATATTAAAATAGAAATACTTATTTCTTCTGAAACCAAACAGTATTTGCTCTATATGAGGAAAAAAATTTCAGTAGCACCATTTCTTGTTCTTATACCTTGCCTCAAGATTACATAGAACTAGATATTTTTTTAACTTAATGCTGACCTCATTAATATGCAGAGTAAAAGTCATAAAGTATATGAACTTTTGGCCATCACTCTGTCCTTGGGACTTCTAAATTCTCAGTGACAAGAAGTTAATTATTAGATCATGGGACTCACCCTTTCTCTCAGCAATAAGGATAAAGCCACTTGCAATCTTCAGCAGAAGTAAAGAAGAATGCATAGGTTCTTGTGCATTCAGAACAATTTTTTTTTTTTTTTTTGAGACAGAGTTTCACTCTTGTTACCCAGGCTGGAGTGCAATGGTGCGATCTCGGCTCACCGCAACCTGCGCCTCCTGGGTTCAGGCAATTCTCCTGCCTCAGCCTCCCGAGTAGCTGGGATTACAGGCACGCGCCACCATGCCCAGCTAATTTTTTGTATTTTTAGTAGAGACGGGGTTTCACCATGTTGACCAGGATGGTCTCGATCTCTTGACCTCGTGATCCACCAGCCTTGGCCTCCCAAAGTGCTGGGATTACAGGCATGAGCCACTGCACCCGGCTCAGAACAATTTTTTTAAACCCGCTGGAAGGTGTGTGGACATATGTGCTTATAAACAAACACATTTTAGATACGCACTGTCAGATGTCTATCAGACAGAGGTACGGTGCCAGGAATCAAGGTTCTTGAACTTGGATCACATCTTTCTTTTTTAAACTACTAATTCTTGAGTGCTTCTATGTGCCAGGGACTATTTTCAGACAATTAACCCATTACCTCATTTACTTCTCATAATCTTACAAGGAAGAGATCATTATCCCTATATTACAATGAGAAAACATCATTTCAGAGAGGTCTAATATAATCACTCAATTGCTTTCAATTAAAAAGTGCCAAAACTAGGATTTCCCTGAATACAAAACCCATGTTTTGCTATAGTATCCTGCCTTCTAACCTTATATGTGTGTGTGTGTGTGTGTGTGTGTGTGTGTGTGTGTGTATTTCTTTTTTTTTTTAAAGACACAGATGTTGATAAGTTTTGGCTCTGTGATCCAACCCAAATCTCACCTTAATTATACTAATCCCAATGTCATGGGAGGGACCTGGTGGAAGTTAACTGAATCATGGGGGTGAGTTTTTTTCCCCATGCTGTTCTTGTAATAGTGAATAAGTCTCACAAGATCAGATGGCTTTATAAAGGGAGTCCCCCTGCACATGCTCTCCTGCCTGCTGCCATGTAAGACTTGCCTTTTCTCTTCCTTTGCCTTCCGCCATGACTGTGAGGCCTCCCAGCCACATGAAATGGTGAGTCAATTAAACCCCTTTCCTTTATAAATTACCCAATCTTGGGTATGTCTTTATTAGCATCATAAGAACAGAGTAATATATAGATGCCTAAGGATGTTCCTTACTCCCAGTCTTAAGAAATTATAAACTATTACAAAGCATTGTTTATATACTAGAGGATCTTTAAATCAGTCATCTTAATCCACACAAGTCTGGTCATAATGTTTTTTAATACCTGTGAGATGAATAAAACCAACACTGGCTGAGAAGTTCTATGTGTTAACAATTCTCTAGAAGATTTAAGAGATAATAATGCAAAAGTCACTGTATAGTGAACGTGACCTCAGGTAGAGTACCTCAGAAAACTCCTGGGATGCAATTGTTAAGCTCCCTATGGTGTCTGCATTCTTCATCACTAATTGAACTTAAGTAGAAAAAGGCATTTTGCTACCATTATATCCAGTACAAGTAATATATTACTACTGGAAAAAAAGCTAAGTATCCATTTCCTCATTCTCGTTCTATATCAAATTAGACAGTATCTGTCAAAGTTCTGTAACCTATTATATATAGGTAAAAAAATTACTTTAAGTATCATACTTCCTTTCTCTAATTCTATATGCAAATTGCAGAGGGTCTGGTTTGCAGTAATTTTTATTCATTTTAAAACTACCTATAAAACAATAATCTAAGTCTATTATACATATTAGAAACTTTTTCTAAATTTTAGGAAAAGTTGTAAGGTTCAAAACGTAAGAAACTCTTGAATCGTATCCTTAAAACTTGTCACTGACAGTGTTCCACATAACAAAAGGATTCACGGACAAATGATTTTACATGTTAACAGATTCATATACTGAAGAACTTCCTGGATCTTTAATACATTACGTGCACTCTCTAAAAAAGCAGTAGATGGTATTTTGCAAATACAGTAGTTAAAAGACGTACTGTTTCTCCCTATTAGTTTTTCTTATCCCCTCTTACAAGGCTACTCCCTCACATGATGCAAGTTTCGCCCTGTGACCTGCTCTGGCCAATTAAATATGAGAGTTACTGCCATGTGCCACTTTCAAGCAGCCTTGTTAAGAGCCATGGTTCCATCGCTTTTCTCTTTCCTCTTCAAAACATGTACATGCCAGAAAGACTGCTCCTTCAGCTTTGGTCCAGGAATTAAGAGGGCATGGAGTGAGTGGCAGGAGACTAATCAGAGACATGAACATCAATGAGAAATAAGCGTTTATTGACATAAACCACTAAGATTTGGAGGCTCTTCTGATATTGAGATGTAATTGACTAAGTTGACTAATATGTTTCCCAGATTTATTGAACTCTGGAATCCTTTTGCCAAGTAACATCTTCTAGAATTTGTTTCCTCAATTACTCCAGGTTTTGTATGGCATCTTTTCTGTTTCTCAGATATTACTGTACTTAAGATGAGCATATAAGTCAGCTAGAAGTATGCAGTCTTAGCCACCTGTCATTAAGCTTCCATCTTAAATTTCATCAGCAGTTTGGATTTCTGTCAATTTCTTAGGGTCAATAAAACATTTATTGCAATAATCTGATGAACATTCAGAAATCATATCTCAGATGGCTACTTAGTGAAGTCTGCCATGGTAATCCTGGTTCATGACTTAGTTTTTCTGAACAGGTCAGATAAAGTGTCCTGCTTTGCTTTTTTACTGCTACAAATTTCATTTTTCTTTAAACCTCACCATGCTAAACTCCCTTTTTGATTAGCAAATGAGAACATACTTGAAATTTCAGTACCAATTTTTGAAAATTCCAGAGTCTATACTGCTGACTTAATAAAATCATAATTAACTGTATTCTGGCTAGCATTCTTAAATTGAGAATTTGCATTAATATTTGTAACAAGTGTGCCTTAAAGGATAGCACAGGGAAGAAGAAAAACAATAATTAAATTCTAATCTTCTCACTGGCATTAAGGTTTATTGTTGTTTAAATGCCCTATTATAAATACAAATTCAAATAAATCATATGCATTTTACTATGTGTATAATCCTAGACAATGACTTTTAGGAGCCTGGTTCAGAGGCCTCATATTTATGCTCACATGATGAAAGCAACATTCAGTGATATAGTTACCAAAAGGGGAAGGCAGACAAATAATCTAGACAGATGTAATAAGCTACAAAATAAAGATACTTTAAAACAGAAAAGGTTTTGGATTAATCTTAATTAAAAAGTAAAGAATGAGTTCCTTTCCTGAAAACTGTAACTAAACAATATTTACTGTATTTGCTCATTTTAATTTACAACAAGTTCCTCAGTCTTACAAATCATCAGTTTACCATAAAGTATTCAGATAACAGTAAAGCCATCCCAAGTTTGATTCCCAGATTGGGAAAATTCTATTCATTTAAGTAATTATTATTAAAACTAATTTAAAAATAGTATTGCCATATGCCAAAGTTAAAACAAATTTTACCGTAAAACATCAGCTTGAAAAAACTAACATAGAAAAGGACAGTTATAGTATTTGTGAGTTTCAGAGTTTTATATAATTTGGCACATGTATATATTTTAAAATCTCAACTTTTTCCTTCATTGTATACTTTTCATACTTAAAGTGGTTTCAAGACACAGCTACATACACTTCATTATTTTTTAACAGGTGAGAAAAACTCCATAATGTTTTGATACTGATTCATTTTTCAATTAATGTCAACAGCATTACAAAAAACAGCGTTTGGGGACTAGCCCAATTTAATACCTATTTAGGTATACGACCTCTAAGTATCTGGGACTTCAATAAACTGACTTTCACCAATAAACACACTACTGTGGAGAAGCAAATCAGAGATTCTGAAACAGCTAATTTTAAAATTTTCATTAGTTTAAAAGAAAATTTAACTTACTTGATAATGAAGATTAAAAGTCACACCTTAAAAAAATAACAACATTGACAAGAAAAAGAAATCCAATGATCACACTTCCTTGATTAATATGGATTATGGGGAAAAGTTGAGACTAGCTCTGATAACACATAGTTCTTGACTGCCTCACTGCTTCCAGGTAAGTAAGATGCACCTTCACAACAGCTCTTACCAGTCAAGTCAAGACTTTCCATTGTGATTTCAATGGAACATCAGAACTTCCAGATTCTGTGATGCAGCAGGATTCTGTGAAAGACCCATAGAAAAGTAGTTAATATGGTGAGCCAGGAAGGTCTTTCAAACAAAGCTGCCACTCATTCTCTTTAGCAAAATAATCTCCAAATAAAATGAATTACTAGCCAAACAATCAATATGAGGCAAATATCCCTATGTCAGTGCTAGTTAGAGAAAGTGGCCTAAAGTGTTTATTGTCAACTTTAACAAAAATATAGTCACTAAAATTATTCAATGGAAATTCTCTGATGAAGGTTACCCATACCAGGAATTAATCATAGGCAATAACTTCTTGGCCTTTTGGCTACAAGTAAGTGTAGAATTACGGGCAAATCCTTTGGAAAAAACATGGGGTTAAATCATCATCCTGACTAAATTCAAGTTATTTTAAATGACTGACCCAACTCAACCAGATAAACTGTGATTCAGATATTAATACCTATGATTTATCTTTTAAAATATTAAAGATAATGAATGAACCAAGACAGTAAAAATGAAGAAACAAGAAAGCAGCCTGGAGTTAGGGGGACAAATAGAAAATAATTTTTGTTTTCTAAGGATAAAGAATGAAATAAATACAAGATCAAAATCAGCAAAAGGATGTACGCATAAATTAAATGGAACACTTTATTTTAATAACATTGCAAATACATATCCCTAAACCATATCATTTCTGAGAATTCAAAAGTTATCATTTACATTTCTTTGTAAGACAAATTTAAGTTGCTTCAGTGGTAAAACTAAATCCACACTCGACTAAAAGAAACAATTCCCTGCTCTAGGCAGAATATGACAATATATTTCTTCTCAATCTGTAAGCTACACACTGTAGAAACTGGATATCACTTACTGGTTTATGGCGCTATCAATACACTATCAGTCATTTTATGACTTAGCTTAAGTTTTTTTTTCTAATAAGCCACTATGATATGGAAGAACTGGCTTTTCAAATTAAATATCAAAAATATGTAATGATTCATCTGGGTAATCCTATCTAGAATTAGATGACTCAGTTGCCACCCAGTGCTATTAACAAAAACAAAAGCTGAAAAGAATGAATAAAGTATTAATTGGTCTCATGTGGCTTCATACTCCCCATTCATCCATATTGTTTTAAAACAAGCATACAGATGAAAGAATAAATCCAGATCTTTGAAGCAAACTATAAAGTACGCATACGAATACTTTAGAATCAAATGCCCATGCTTTTACTACAATTTGGAAAGCAGCATGCCAATCCCAAACACTGATAAAATAAATAGTATAAAAGTCTATTATTATCATAAAAAAGGCAACATGTAAATATTCAAAATATTTTAAAAGAATATCTCATAATACCATCACATTTGCATACTTATTTTTCATATAAATCTACAAAAGTATACAGAAGAACCATTAAATATTATGAAATAAATAAGCAAATATCATGAAGTAAATGACTATAAATGTCAAGTAAATAAACTGGTATAATCTAAAAACATATATCATTTGTACTGCCAAACTTGGGATAAGAAAGTCTACCATTAATTTTGACAGTGTGAGTTTCATTCTTATTTTGGTTTAAGGATTTACTTTTTAAGAAGTGAATACATGCTACCTGAGAAATAAAATACCCCATACATCCTATATAAGTAAGTTCTTTCAGGAGCTCAAAGATAAACTCATTAATCTTCATATATCCTTAGAGAGTTGTTTCTATTAATATAATTGAATATATTCCAAAAAGTTAACCATAATTGCACTTTGTCTTGATAACCATTCAAGAATTTATTCCCTGTGATGTAACTACCTATGGATAAAGTACCGGAAGGGTAAAAGAGGACATTGGCTGTGCTTTGGCCAATATGGGTTTTTATGCTAACGAAGGAATCCTGGTAAATTTAAGAAACCAGGAAATCAGCCACAAAACAGACATCAGTTTCAAGGCTGAAGGTCCTGCCTGTGACAAACTGCCTTTGAGTTCTCTTACAGCCAAACGTAAACACTCCAAATTTTATCTGGCTATTACAAATGGCCACATGAGTAGCCTCAGAAAAGCAGTTGCAGCATATGCTGCTCTGCATTTACATCATTAGTATTTCATAGAGCGTTCTGATTTGATGGAAATGAGTAGTGATGTGAGGTATCAGAAAGGCAGGTGGGCCAGCAGGGGGAAATTCCCTAAGTGTGACCAGAACCCTACAGAACGGTGACTACAATGTGCCCTGAGACCAGCGCCTGGGCAGATTTTCATCTGAGCCACCTGATAGCTGTCTGTGTTCTCTAGGTCCCACTTTGGCTTACTGTCAACCTCCACTCACCCCCACAGAGCCTTGGCTTTCTGACTCCCAGGAATGAGGCTCACTGTCTCCTTAGAAACTTGTCTTTCCCTTTTCAAGGCCTCTGCTTCCCACCCATGACACTGCACCACCTCCACCCCATCCTAGCCAGCACTGATCTGGCACAGATCAGAATTCCCTCTGAGAAACCATAATGGCAGGTGGGACAGACATCTATTAAATATAATTTGTCCCTTACAAACAGGGCATCTGATTTGGCATGTGAAGAACCTATCTTACAGATGTGGCCTAAACAACCACTGAAACATCCTGAAGCAACTGGCTTTTTGGCACAGCTCTTGCACTGTCCCCTGATGCGCTGTTCTGAAAAGCTTTTTATATTAAAAAAGGTGAGGTCCCATCTCTTACAATGCGGCAGATTCCCAATTAACGTCTAGCATAGCATTCAAAGGAACATCACGGCAAAATCCCCTAGTGTGCCACGACTGTGTTTTGCACCCTGATGTCACTATTACCAAGTCAGTGCAGAAGGAACTCCAAGGTAACCATGTTGCCCGCTTACATAGAAGAATATTTAATCCCCATGAATGACTGCTTTCCTGATGTTTTCATCGATTCTCTGGGTAATAAATTAAGCTTTAATGAACTCATTTTCATACATACTCCCTAATTCAATCAAGCTCAATAAAAGTCATTCTGGACTGCCATTATTTGCTAAGGAAAAATTACATTCAAATGAAAAAAAAATTGCTGGGCATACCATGCATGGTACAGAGATGCCTCTCCTTTTGTGGAGTAAAAACAACAACAAAAATAGCCAAACTGCTAGAAAGGAAATAAGGATTTTTTTCCTCATCCTTCTGAAAACAGAATACTCATGCTTTTACACCTTAAAAAGGTGGGGAGGTGGAGGACTGAAAAAGCAAATTTTAAATTACTGCTTTCAACTACATTTATGCTTTCGAAGAGGTTGTATTTCTAATCTAAGAGCCAGCATGACCTCTGAGACCCAAAGCAAGTACAGGTCACAAACTAGGAGTTCTAAAACCCACTCTTCCACAAAACCTTCCGCTGGCTTCCTCCATGTCTTCAGTAGGTCCTGTATTCATTCCAATTTCTACTTTATAATGCACGTTTCCTTAAAAGATTTTTCCTACCTTAAAACCACTTCTCCATCTTTATAGGAATACAATTCTTATCTTCTCCTCAACTAACTCTAATATACTACATGTTGATAAAATGAACTTAATCTCCAGTCATTTACTTCCATGTAATACAATGCAGTTGTGTTTTTAGTCAAAAAATTCTTTATTTAATTCTGTCCTCAGCATGCATAACCCTTTCCCACTCTATATATTCTGTTTTTCTCAACAGTGGCATCAGACACATTATCCAATTTATAGTACTGAAAATGATGTTGTTATACCAACTCTTATGCAATTGTGGCCAATGAATTCCATGCCTCAGGTCACTGTTGTTTACTACAGGCTAAAGGCCTAGAAATGATAAACTCACAGGCTGATCTCTAGTTAAATCATTTGCTGAAATAAAATTCTGCATATACTGCAGGAACATATATACACTCAAATACACACATATATAAAATAAAGAAAGTGACAAAATAAACTATGAATAAAGACAAAACTTTTGTTAAAATCATCCGTCTGTCTTCTACAGTTGAAGCTTAAACCACAGCTGTTTCACAGGCATTTCTGGCCAGGCACCAATATTTAACCGAAATTACAATGTCAGCTATACTGAGAATGGAAATCTCTCGAAAGAAATGCAGATCTGAATTACCTCTTTGTCACCTTCCCACCCTTACCTTGGCATTTCTCCTCATTACCCCCAGAGCCTTTCAGTTGAGAAACATTAAATATAGTAAAAAGGCAAACATGTCTTAAGACTTCCCTAGATATTTGACAATAAAACAAAGTAACTACTAAGTAATTACAGATTTGTCCCTTTGTTTGGACTCTCCCAAAAAAAGTATCAGAAAACACTGGGTAGCAGGGACAGAAAACTCCAGCATTCATTGTTTCAGATGGGCCCTTTATAATAGCAGATGAAAGATTTGTAAATCTTCAGTATTCAATATTGAACCAGACATAAAATATTTTTAAAAATTACTGGCCAGCCATGGTGGCTCATGCCTATAATCCCAGTACTTTGGAAGGCCCAGGCAGGTGGATCACTTGAGCTTAGGAGTTCAAAACCAGCCCAGGCATCATGAGGAAACCCCATCTCTACTATAAATATAAAAATTAGCCAGGCATGATAGTATGGGCCTATAGTTCCAGCCACTCAGGAGGCTGAGGCAGGAGAATCACTTAAACATGGGCGGCAGTGACCTGAGATAATGTCACTGCACTCCCGCCTGGGTGACAGAGTGAGATTCCATCTCAAAAAAAAAAAAAAAAAAAAAAATTACCACCTACCTATATGACAACAGAATAGCAGGGCGAATTATGTAGCCTTTTACTATTTGGGAAATTACTAACCTAACATGCATTAACACTGCAAAAGCTATTACAAAGGGCGGGGCGTGCTGGCTCATGCCTATAATCCCAGTACTTTGGGAGGTCGAGGCAAGTGTTCAAGACCAGCCTGGCCAACATGGTGAAACTTCACCTCTTCTAAAAACACAAAAATTAGTTGGGCACGTTGTTGGGTGCCTGTAATCCCAGCTACTTGGGAGGCTGAGGCAGGAGAATTACATGAACTTGGGAGGCG